CCCCGGGTCAAGGAAACAGCTTGCACTTGTCTCTTTAAGTCTCTCTCAGGCTGGCTGTATCATTTCATTATTTCCTTTCCTGTTATCTTCAAACATTCCCTCAAAGCAGAGCTTGACAAGAACAGGAAGGTTGGCAAAGGTCTGGCAAGGAGGTTGTTTTTCTTCGTGTTCGAAAATGGTTTCTTTCCTCCCCCGACCCCCACCCCATCCTCTCTCCTTCATTACCCACTCCCTCTCTACAAAGCTGATGGAAAAAAACTCAGAACTCCTTTCCCTCTTTAAAGTAGGGTCTCTAAGAGGTTTCTAATCAGCTCACTGTCAGCCTGTTTCCTCTGATCAGCTTAAATAGGTCCACTTGAAGTTCACAACTGCCAAAACCAGCATGCAGACTGAAAGCAAGGGGAGCATTTGAGAAGCATTTATGAATGTGTCCACCCAAGATTATCCGGGAGGCTGAAATCCCTGGGAGAGCGCTAGGTCCACAAACCCTTTCTTCTTGATTAAATTAATATTTCCGACTAACAGGAGGAGGAATTCCCTTTCCACAAGCTGATTTCTTTTCCGACCCCCTCTTCCACCACTAAAATGTAAACTCGATTCCTGGGTCCTTAGTAGGAGACTGTGACTGAGGGTCCCTGTAAGCAAGCCCGTACTAAACATCTTGTACCAAATGAACACCTTGGTACAAATGATAGCTTTTTGTCTAATTTTATACAGTAACAAAAAGCCCAAACAAAAGTAAGGCATGTTATCTCAGCTCAACACAGACGTGTGGGGGCAGGAAGTTCGTTTCTGCACTGTGGCCCCCAGGTTCTTTTCTGAGATTTTCCTGCTCTGTCTTCAGAAAAGGGCGGCTTTGTTAACCATTAGCCCCTGACAAGAGTGTGTCCATTTCAGCAAAATTAATAAGAGATAGCATTTTTCTTCCTTCTAAATGGCCCATGTCGGTAATTAACATCGCCTTTCATTACTCAACTTGAAAGCTGCCTTCTCTGGCTCCCCTGACCTTGCCCTGGCTTTGTTAAACTGTGGCCTTCAGCCTGTGAGAGACCTAAATGCAGAAAAAGCACCCGGGACCCTCACTGAGGTGCCTTGAAAGAATCATTTGACAAATATTTATTGAGTGCCTACTGCGTGGAGCTACCAAGTTGAATCAGACAGAGACCCTTGTGGAAAGGAAACTGGGGGAAGAAGTAAAGTGGGGTTGTTTAAAGTCACCCTAATGCTACAGAAACTGATGGCTGCCATGAACAGAAGCAGATCCAGTGAAGGAGGAACAGGACAGAGAGATGGCTGAGGTGGGAGTTTTATGGTGGAGGTGACCTTCGAGGGGGACATGCAGATATTGGAGTTCATTGCATTAAAAAAGGATGTAAAGGTTCAAATGATCTTTCCTTGCACTTTGTTTTTTTTTTTTAGAGAAAAGGAGAAAGAGTACTTTCATAGAGAATATATATTATTTTCCTTTTTGGTGGGTTGTTTCCCAGTATATTTAGCCAATGAGCTGTTGACATTTTAGTAATGACACTACCGTCTAGTTTAGCCAGCTCCCCAGACAGTGTGTAAAATATTTTTCTGTCCGTTTTTCCTATCAGGTGTGTGCCCCAGGAGGATTCTTGGTCTCAGAGATGGAAATGTCACTTGGGGTGAGTTAAGATACATTTTAATAAACAAGATTACACTGTATAGCACAGGGAAATATACACAAAAATGTTATGATAAATCAGAGAAAAAAAAAAGATAACAATTTTAATAGTCATTC